AAAAAAAAAAAAAAAAAAAAAAAAAAAAAGACACAGAAGGGCCAGCCGGTGGCTCACTCGGGAGAGTGTGGTGCTGATAACACCAAGGCCATGGGTTCGGATCCCATACAGGGATGGCTGGTTAGCTCACCGGGTGAGCATGGTGCTGACAACACCAAGTCAGAGTTAAGACCCCCTTACCGGTCATCTTTAAAAAACAAACAAAAAAAGACATAGAAAATTCCTCTAGGAGCCCTTCTTCCCCACTATATGATAAATAACAATTCAATATAATCCCAAAGAGCTGTCAGTATTGCCAATGGTTTCAGTGTGGTTGGTGGATGAGAGGACGTAGAGAGAAAAATCATCTATGATTTTCTCTGACCAGAAGCTTCACAGAATAAGGAAAAACAAACCACTGGGTATAGATCACTTAAAAAGAACTGAAGCTCCCATCCTCTTCTAGTTAAAAGAGCAAATCATAATGCTCAGCCTCTGATGAAACTGACTTATGTTAGATAGCGAAGATTCAATAACTGGCATCTCTCAAGGTGAGGAAAGAACACTGTGTCTTAAGGCCAAGCACACTTGACCTAACAGATGAAGGTCGCTAACAAAAATTGTTAGTTCCTTCTCAGAATAGTATGTTTCTGTTTTCACTAACTACTCCAAGTTGTTTGCAAAATCTAATCGTTATAGCATTCTGAATACTGAGAAATGCTGATGTACTAGGGGAAAAAATTCTATTTATTTAACATAAAGATGCAGGAAATGGAATACCACTGTATAAAAGGGCTGGCTACAAGTGTATACAGTGTATGTAAATGCAGAACTAAAGTTGTTATCAGCCGTTATCACCTATATGATACTAAATGTAACTGTTTACTCCTTCTCCCAAAAAGACATGGAAAGTTCTCCCAGGGATTTACTGTAGTGGTAGCAGTAGTAATAACAACTACCATAATGGAATGGGTCAAAAATCCCACTAACCAAAACTGGGACGCAGAATTGGGGAAAATAAGAGAATTTTAAGTTAACAGGCAAATGATACACTTGAAAAACTACACAGCATATATGACAAAGGGCCAATATAGGTAACATTTAAAGAGACCTAATGAGTCAATTTATAAAAAATTATAAACACAGAAAATGGCCAAAGGACATGAAAGGCAATTAACAGAAGAAATACAAAAGGCTAATGAGTCAAGTGACACCTGATTTTACTAATAAATGAACAGATGCAAACTAAAACAGTGAGACTTCTTTTACTTACCAGATTGGTTAAGATTAATTTCAAAACATAGGTCTGCGTACTACTGACCCAGAAATTCCACTTCTCTACAGAAGGGTACAAATATATGTGGTAATCATAGTATGTACTGAATATTTACTATATGCCAGCCACTATCTAATCTTACAATTAATCTTATCTAACTCTTAATTAAGTACTGCTAGTGTTGCCAGTTTGAAGATAAGGAAACTAAGGTACAGGATGGTTAAGTGACCTGCCCAAGGTCACACTTAACAATAAGTGAGAAAGAGCGGAAACCAAGTCTACCCGACTTCAAAGCCCAAATTCTTCAACAGCAACACAGGCTACCGCTACACAAGGACCTTTACTTCAGTACCAGGGAAATTAGAAACAACCTAGATGTCCACCAATAAAGAACAAAATAAATTCCTCTACATCGACACAGTAGAACTCTATGTAGGCAATAAAAAGATATATATGTACTGACGCGGAAAGCATCCAAGAAATATTTTAAAAAGAAAGCTGAAGAACAGGACATATAATTGTATTTCTTTAAAAATATAAAACACACACACATATAAGCATAAGAAAAAGTGTGGAAGTGCATCAAATTGTAAACAGTGTTTATCTTTGATGGGTAGGAATGAAGGGGTCTTCCATTTTCTGATTTTCATTACCATCTGAAAATGTTTCCAACTAGCATAGCACGTAATCAGAAGAAAACAAGCAGGATGGATCAATTATTTCTATAGCCCTGTGCATCCTAAGGTGAATAACGCACACAAATTTCCTACCTGGTAATTATTCTAATGTGTTGTGTGGAGGGTTATCTGTTTTGTTTTTTCCTGGAAATGATTTTGGAACAAAGGCCTAAAGCGCTTACCATCGAAATGAATCTGAATCAGAATTTTGTGGTTTCTTGACAACTGCAGTAGACACATAACGAATACATACCGAGTGAGCGTGCAGTTGTGAAACCACCACCAAAGCCATAAATCCACAAAAGACCGCGTGGGCCGAGAACGCTGAAGGGCTGGGACGCACACAGCCGGCGGGGACCCGTGGCGGGAGGCGACGGAAGCGGGGCGGGGAGGGCGTACCTCGTGCGAAGGTTCTGGCACGGTAAGACGGCGGCAGTCCTGGATCGGCTCCGCGTGGGGGTAAGGGGCGGCCCTAGAGCTCGCACCTCAGGTCCGCGTAGGTCCGGGTCCGCAGCGGCCGGGTCGTAGGCGACGCTAACACTCACAACACTTCGGGAATTCAAATTTGAAGAGCCCGCCCTCCAGCCCGCCCGGGATTGGCACGCTCAGGAAGTACGTCACGTTGCGTCTCACGGGAACTGAGGAAAGCTGGGGGCGGACCCCGCGCGCGGACAATGGCCTGTACACAAAAAGTGGGTGACCCCAAGCTGCCGCGGGTAGGAGCACGCCCCTGCACTCGTCCTCGGAGGTCGTTTCGCCTTCTTACGGCGCACGCCCAGTCCGACTGCCGCAGCTCCTCCCGTAATGCTCTGCGTCGGGAAGGCTTACGTCTGACTCCCCTTGGCGCTCTCCGGCGCAACTGTGGTTGTTAAGTTTGGCCCTTCCCGCCTACCGTCTTCCCCTACGGGCTGTGTTCTCTAGTGGCGTTTTGTTTTCTGTTCTTTGCATCTGTGAGGGGAACTGCTTGCGGGATGGGTTTGAGAGTACTGGTTTTCTCGGCCAGTCGTGTATTAGAGGCCGAGAAAGAACGTTTTGTTCTGGAGGGAATAGTTTACTGAATGCAAGGTTACATACGCAGTGATATGTTTAGTTGGAGTTTTTTCCGCAGAAGTGTGATTTTTTTTTTTTTTTTTTAACCTGGTCGTCTGGAATTCTAAAAGCATGACTCTTGACAACCCCAGGTTGCTATGCAGTTTGTGACAGGAGTGCCAGTACTGAGCTCCGCCTTAGACAGCACCCGCTGATGCTTTGCTCTGCCTACGGCGGAGTTTCATGTATATCCTTAGCCCCAGTTCCCTTTCAAGACGCGGTCTCTGGCTAGAAGTGTCGTGTGGGCGCCTTGTTTCAGTCTTGGAGTAGGGGAAACGAGGGAAGTAACAAGTGTTTTCAGCTGTAAACTACATCCAAATCCAATTCTGCGTCA